TAAATAACTAACATAACGGAGAATGCAGACAGGAAACAACTGTGGGAAACTTAAGTTAACGTGATTTTAGAGAGAAAAAGTATTAGCTATACGATTAATTGCATAAACGAATTAGTTATTTAAAGATACCTTCAGCGTCTTAGTATAGCAATAAAATTTTTCCCATATGGCATCATGCGTTTTTCATGTCTCGAAAGCGCGACTTAGGATATGTGTTAGATTTATAGCATCGTCAATAGAGTATTTTGAAACAAAAATCGGACTTTTTCTGAAAATACATTTTTTTTTCATATCCATTTAAAACTCAAATTATGCCATAACTACCAAGTTTTGTAAAAAAACGCAGAGTGGTTTTAAAAGTTAGTCTCAAATTTTAGCTCCTCAATTTAATTGTGTTTGGTATATATTATTAACCTCTTCTTTTTTATTAACTTACTTGATTTTCCTTAAACATTTCGAAATTTAGGTTTATTCCAAAAAATCACCCATTTTAGATTATTTTTTTAATTGTATTTTTAAATAATTTTTATAATGTTTCAGAAAACCTTTTTGAAATAATCTGTAAACATGTACCATCATCTAAAACATTCTAAGTATACCTGCAAAACATTCAGTTTTATTAAAATTTCCGAGATATACGTGAATTATAATGGGCGTTTTAAATTGGCATATTTGTTGAAAGCCATAAACCAATGGGTTTGACACTTGCAAAACATGTGGAAGTATAACGTGTATTTTTTTTGCTCATGCAATCTAAAAACGGTAGGAAAGAGGTGCCTTTTTTCTCTCCGGAATGGCAGGGAAAGGAAAAGGTTGGCCACATATTTTCGCTAAGGAATTATTTTGGGGCAAACAAAACATTTCGCCAGATAAAATTTTAAATTTCTCCATAAATCTCGCACCAAATTTTACAAAATTTAATATCTAGGCATAATTTGAGTCGCAGAATCGAAATATGGAAAACAATTGGTATGTTCTTACAGAAAAAGTCAGATTTTGTGTCAAAATACCTATGTTAGAACAATGCTATATAAAATTCTAATATATATCTTAAGTCCCGTTTCGAGACATGGAAAACGCAAGCTGGATTTCGTCAATCGGTACAGTAGAAAGGGAAAAGTAGAACTGTAAATTTTTTTTCGCGTTGTACGTAGTAGAAAGTTAACAAAAGTTCAAAAAAAGGTTTTTGATATTTTGTACAAGTAAATTATCTTGCTATTATTCGAAATACTTTTTGTTCCTACTTTCATTGCCAATTGTATGGAAAGTAATGAAATTGTGAGTGGAATAAATACAGAAGATGTGTAGGATACATGTTAAAATTATCTGCCAGAAAATAATCCAAGAGATGTTTGATAATTACACCTGGCAAGAAGGTAACGTGTTGCAGACCAAAGTTCACTTGAATAAGAATTCTGCAAAAACGAAGCAACAGAGCTGAAAACTTGGATTAGAACAAGCAAAGAAGATGGATGGCAAGCCTGAAGGCCTTTATGGATAACAGGGCCTTACCTTGATATAAAATTCATCTATGTATAAAATAGATTAATATAAATTGTAAGCTTTCCTTGTCCCTGAACTGTTTTGAATGAGTTTAAAAATGTCTTATCAAATTCTCTACATACTAATTGCAATCATTTACAGTTGGCAGGAGTCAGTAAGGAATTAGGTAACTGCTTTCACTTTATTTTTTCTATCAACGTGGCTGAATGACTCAGTATACAAATATTTCATCAAGAAATTCTGCGCCATATGTGAAATCACAGAATCAACTGTTTCTGCTGATTCCTTTAAAAAATGTATCTTGCGTTTCCTTTCCATTTCGTTAATCTATTTATAACTTAGTAAAGGTTTATAACTGCGTACATAACGGTCATAAAAATTTGGCATAAAGTATAATTTTTTTTATCATTACTACTTAACAAATTAACGTTCAACATTTTTCTTACAAATGTTTAGTTCCTAAGGTAAATTGCATTGATATTTTGTTCCTGGAAATGCTATAAATTTATTTTCAAACACGCTTGTGCCCTTTTATAACGAACTGTTAAGCAAGCACATAACATTTAACAATCATAAAATCAGTTTTACCTGACCATGTTCCTTTTCTGTGTTTCTAGACTTCATCACGCCTTTTGTAGTAATAACGCCTTTTGCAGAAAACCTCGGGCTAAAAACAACGACAGCTTCTGAATCTAAACATGCAGTAATCTAGAGTATGAAAAATTCAGACAGCAGATAAAACTCTAAAATCTGATCTACATATCTATGATTATAGTTGTTTTTGAAGTCTAAAATATCAACCGATATATATTCCGCTTTAAATCTTTTTGAATGGCATTATAAATTTCAAAAGTTTTCAGAAATCGCGAATAGCATACAAGGAATATTTCTAACATAAAATCAAATGAAAACTACCTAAGAATAGAAGTTACATATATAGACTCTTTTGCACATGTTTCGAAAAACAGAATCTTATTTTTTTTCCTTAAAATAAGCAAACTTTTCTTTGACTAGCATTAGTTTAACAGAGAAAAGTGAGTACATTTCGATATATGCTGATAACTACTCGATATATGCCGATAAGACTACGATAAATTTTGATATATACTGTTTTCTGCAAAGAGAAAATTATTCTTGTATTGCTGAAAAATGCTTGAAGAAAATTTCCTTCTTACTATTATTATTACTTCTTTTCTCTTTGCAACAAATTCTCGTAGTCTTGTTTTCATCACACTTAAGGTTTCTGTTAGCTGATAAATTGGATGGATTCTCTATAAATTGGATCTTTAAAATTGTATTCCTTTTCTTTTGACAAAACTTGTAAATCAGATTTTAATTTTGTTTCATAGCATTTATAATCATTGGTGTTAAACACAATGGTCAAACTAAAGAAACATAATGCATATTTCGTAGCAAAGCATTAAAACGGAACTCATGAACACTTATTTTAGGAAAGGAATAATCAATAATATAGCCTAATTTCTACATTATTTATGATTATGTCGAATATCATCGTTGCAGAATACATTTTTAACTGCGAGAAAAATAAATTTTTAAATTTCCGTTATTCTTCCCTTTAATCTGCATTTCGAAATTATTTTTTACTTTCATTTAGAATTTTTTAATGTAATTAGACCGCTGTACTTCTATAAATTCTTAAAGGAATTTATTACAAATTAAGAAAATTAAAGCATAAATTAGATTTAATGTAAAAATTTAAACTAAAACTTTAAGTCTCAGATTTAAATTAGATGTTTAATAAGCTAATAATTTTTAGTAAACTAAGGTCTACTGAAATGAAAATATAGTTATAAAAATTAACATTTCACAGATCTTGCCGATCTAGACAGTTTTAAAAATTTCTTACTAATGTTCCAAAGATTTTTTGCTCTGTTTATCTGTTATATGTACTACAAAATTCATATATTGTAAAATTTAAATTTTGCAAATCTTACCAATTTTGATATTTTTAAAAATATCATAGTAAGGTTCTAAGTTTTTTATGTTGAAGATGTATTTCATATACACATAATTAGAATATGTTTTACGAGCATTTCCATCAAAGACAAATTCCAGTTTTATTTCTGCATTGTTTTGAATAAAAACCTGAAAAGGTATTTTCTCCCTACCTCCACCTATGCTTGGTTGAGAATAGACGCACACTCGGCGGTATGAGATCCAGCGTTCGCGAGGGTACCGGGAGGAGGAGATGATCATTGTCAATCTTCAAATAGACGATTATTCTACAACCTCAAGAGTTTATCTACATTGATTACCTAAACAAATTTATTTTGCCAAGTCAGTCTTCTCCCTATGAACAGATTTTTATTACCTGAAGCCTTTTAGAATTTACAACTAAAGCTAACATAAGCTTCACTCAAAATTCAACTGAGCTTTTAACCCTGTTGCATCAAATAGAACGTGCTGGTCTTTTACTAGGCCCTAAGTTGTTATGTTGATACATACGTGTAGACTAATAGTAAGCTACTTCGTTCGAATGTGGCTTCATTTTTGTTCCCGCATTTTCGTAATTCGTAAAATTTGACATTTTAAACAAGTTACCTTGCTAAGATATATTTTCTCTGGATCGTTTATGCGATTAATCGCATAGCTAATAATTTTTCTCTCTGATATCACATTAACTTAAGTTTCCGACAGTTGTTTCCTGACTGCATTCTCTATTAATTTTAAGAAAATAAATACTTTTTGTTACAAAGTTTCCTAATCCGTTAAACCACCTCAGATGAAGATTTCGTAGGAAGCTTTATCAAAGCGAGTCCAACAGAATTCATCTTAAAAAATGGCTGCGTGCGTTCACATCGAAACAATATGCTTTTTCGAAGCGCCCGGCAACGTAGCTATCAGTTTTGCATTGTTGGTTTTGTTGAGGTCGTCCTTTCTACTTATATTCACGTTTTACATTACGGTTATAGGGTAGGCGTTCCTTGCAAACACACTGCACGTGATCTGAAGTCGAAATATGGAGCTCAGTTCTGGAAGTGCAATGTTTGTGCATTTTTTTTAATGACCGAGTGGAATCAGGCAGGTTTACTTACATGGCCCAATGTGTATTGGTTTCGTGTTTTTCTCATATAACACATAACACAAGGGGCTTGAACGACACCGGACGTCGTATTAGTTTGCATTTGATAACACAACGCGTACCTAAAGGATCAAATTTAATAACGACTTCAGAGAATTATGTGCCTAATTTGAATAAATTATTTATTACGATTTTTTTTCAAAACACATTCAGGAAAATGTATAAAAAAAGTTTGAAAGCGAGGATCAGAGACTCTTTACTCGGAGAACTCTAAAAATTTGAGATTTTTATTTCAAACTAATTCGATATTCCTGTGACTCAATTTAATAGTGAGTAGTAGAAAATCATATTGAATACCTAATGCTAACCACAAAACGTAAAGAAAGCCTGTTGGGGTAATTTAAATCTGACCTTCATATTTTTAATAAACAATATAGTTAAGCATAAATGTTACCTGGATGCCATCTGAGCTTCTAATGAGGATACGCAACACACCATAAGGGCCAGAACTGCGAAAAGATTGAAAATTGATTCTTTTACATTTCTTTCACTGCAAGAGGCGAGTGAGAGAGTGTTGGAATCTGCCAAAAACACTATAGATTGAACTTGTTAAAACATGTTATACTAGCTAAAACATTAATGAATTCCTGATTATTTAAATGTAACAGCTAGAGTTTTCTACAGCAATACTTTTTTAATTTTATCGTTACATTAGGATGTGTATTTGGTTTCTCTATAACTTTTGTGTAGGTATATTTCATTCTTTTTGTAGTATAATAAAAGGGTAATATTGATAGGATGTAACCAGAAGACTTTTCTGAAATTTATTTCCTTTCAGAATAAGTAATTGATCCACAGAAAATGATAATAACGGAAGCAAAAAATTATATATTTAGATTTCTAATTTAAAATAGATTCCTTGATGCTGAATAATTTAAATTCTCAGATGCTTGGTTTGCAAAAGGAGAAACTGCTGAGGGTGATCAAATTAAATATATAGAAATGAGTTTAAGAAAAGAAACACTATTGCAAACAGTATTGTATTTGTCTTATTTAAAAACAATGAAATAGAGTTTATTAACCTTTTGCAGAAATAACTTTCTAAATGACTATTTCTGGAAATGTCAATTGTTTCTGAAAACATAAGTAAATATTGGTACTGAAATATTACCGTAATCATATTCTCTAAGACGACACTTCCACGCCAGAGAAAATCGTCTGAAATCGTGCTCTTAGCGATATTTCGCTGTGTTTTAATTCTAATGATTAACGATTTTGATGGTATTCATTTTTTTCTAGTCGGTGCATGGACAATTCATTTTGTCATTAGTTATTTCCATTGTGTTTCTTCAATATATGATATTATTTTTTGAGTTGTCTTCTTCTGTCGTTGCAATAATGCCAGCACTTCCTTGAAACTACTTTTTTGCTTTAAATCTTTTCACGTGGCTTTATTCCTCTTTGTTTGTTCTTATCTCAGTACAAAAAAAGGAGTTTTGTTTTGCTGTTTCTGACAGAAGTTTTGTAAAGTATATATTTCATAATGGAATTAATAAATTTGTTTAACATTTTTTAAACAAGTAGACGTATAAATTTAAAATACAATTTCGCGACAAGACAAAAATTGGGTACCGCGTAACGACCTAAGTGCAAGCAAACTAAAGGTACTTAAGTAGTTAAAGAGAATTCTACTTTTATTCGTGAAGATTGTGAGTGAAAACAAAGTTCCATATTTCCATACTTCCTCTATAAAATTTCTAATCTTTAGCTGCTTTTTATAATTCTGCTGTTAAAATTGTATCTAAATCTTATCGATAAGAAATTTAGTATATATTTAGCACATAGTATAGCTATCTGGCATATTTGTGGGGCCAACTAAATATATGAAACAAAAAATAATGAAATATTAATGAACAAAAAAGCTCATAAAAGTGTTCAGTTTCAATCTTACGAATTACTAATAAATATAAAAGAGAGTAATTTTATCCTTATGAAAACATCGTAAACTGTTTATATGCAGTTTTAGGCAATAGTTCGCTGATAAATACATAATATATGAGCAGTTAGTGTTTATACACCCAAAACGTTTACTTGAATAAATTTAAATTAAATTAATGGATACTGTCGCGAAAAGTGCAAAGAAAACTATAACGTGTTATAACATTAATTTAAAAGTTCAAATGCAGTTTCTAAACAAAAAATATTAAAATCAGAGCGCGAATCAAATCTGAACATAAAATGAAGCATTACCTATGCAAGCCAGCTCAAACTTTAGTGTTTGTGCTGAATACATCGAACAGAAATGCTTTTTAAAAGACTAAGTGAATCACACATGCAGTAACTAGAATTTATGATAGAATTATGAGAGAAAAAAGTATATTCAAAAGATGGATTAAATAGCGGTTCATTTTATTCGCAATTGCTCCTAAAAGCTCATCTTTTACGCATGCGTAGTAACCAAATCTTGACAATGCAAGGAAAAGTCGGGAAACTGAGGTGACAAAACACGTTCTATTATTTTTTACTTCGCACCCGGAACTAAAATTACATTACAAGCATGCTATGTACCTTTAGAATCAAGTTATCTAGACTGTCTTCAGAGCTTTCAACTATGCTTGCTTTTTGTGAGCGATGTTCTAGAGTTTTCTTTTTCCCTTTCGGCGCATATTGCATTTTATTCCTTCCCCAAAACTAAATTGCAGTTTCTTCCCACAAAACGAAATCGGAAGAAACGAAAAAGAGAATAATATTCTGACTGAAGCTCAAAATATATCCTTATACTTAGTTCCTATACTGAAACAAGAAATAAACGTCTCAAAGTGATGAAAATTTTCAAATTTGAAATTGATATGTGCTCCATTTCTTTTTTTTTTTTTTTTCTTTTTTTACAAATCTGCGTTAGTCTGCTTTTCTAAGTGATACAAAAATAATGAAAGAGAATAAGAGATTAAAACTACGCATAAGAAATTCAGATCTTCATACTTATTTTGCCATTCTATAAGTTATATTATTTAAATAATATGAACACATAGAACTTACCAAATATTTTTGTGTAAAATAGCGTATTTGGAATTTTAATGCTTATACTTTTGTACAATTTTGGACTTATTGGACTTATTTTGGATTTCTAATTTAATGAACTTTAATTTTACTTCATTTCTAAATACGTTATTATATTTTAATTTGTAATCAAAGGCACATAGCTTTATTTAAAATTTGGCTATGCATTTAAATACTGAAAACGATTTATAATAGATAATTACAAATACAAGCATGCAAGATGCTAAATTCAGTAGCAAATGTGTGAAATTATATAAGTGTATAGAACTTAAGACGATATCTCAGTCGATCAGCACATTCTAAAGTTTTTGAAAAACAAATTGAACCAAGAAATGCATAGCAAGATTATTAAAGCTATTAACATTATAAGGTATTTCCCCCACCTTCTTAGCGTGCCTTCGTGGTATAGTGGTTCTGCTAGCTGGGCTGGCATTCCAGAGGTCCGTGGTTCGATTCCCAGCGAAGACGTTTGCTCATTTTTAATCTTTCCTGCTTCCAAAATAAAATACCTAATGTATTTTATTTTGGATATACCTAATGTATTTTATTTTAGTTAAAATACATTTATAAATAAAATACCTAATGTATTTTATTTTGGAACACTGGCACTCGAACTAAAAGGGTGATAGATGATGACTCTCTACACCCAGGATTTGGCGATTGGGTCCCCTAAAAACCCCAGTCGCCCTTTAAAAGGGGGACTATATAAGGTATTTCTCTCACCTTCTTGGCGTGCCTTCGTGTTGTAGTGGTTCTGCACGCTGTGCCGGTATTCCAGATGTCCTTGGTTCGATTCCCAGCAAAGGCGTTGTTAATTTTTCATCTTGCCTGCTTCCAAAAAATACTTATGTCTGTACAACATATAAGACAAGAGAGTTTTGTGTAGAAGGATGCGGAAAAAGTGTAACTTACTCTTGTCTCAGGTTATACATAGTATCATGGAAATGAAACGCTAAATGCTGGAAATGCATTCTTTGGATTAAGTTAAGAAAATAATTTTCTGTGAAGGTATGGCCGGAAACACGGTATTTACGAACTGTGAGATATTAGTCATGTCAGTGACAACATAATTCTAGAAGCTTACTGCTTGATCCGCGGAGGTGGACAAAAGAAAAAAGAGAAGATAGATTGAGAAAATATGAACATTATTTTGTGTTCTAAAGAAAAGGAAATCTATGTTTTCCATGTGCAGATAAGTGATGCAGTGTCTGCAATCGAAAAACCTATATAAAAGCATTTAGTCAGGAATGCTTGCTATTATAGCTTTCATAAGAAATAGACATTACAGGCAGTAATTGTGACGTCACTTAATGGCCACACAATACCGGACTATTTAAATATAGAATACGCAAACTATAAAAGGGGAAAATAGTAATTCGAAGGCTGTACTGAGAAAGATATCGCAATTTTGGGATATTTCCACAAGTCACATCCTAAGCACATAGTCTACAACGTGCTAAATCTTTCTTTTTGCTCGTTCAAATAAATCACATACTCATTTCGATGTGGAAAAAATGGCGTTAAAAGAGGGAGTAGATAAAACAATCCACGTACACCCGGGTTAGGAATTGCACTCATTCACTGTTTGTTGACTGTTTACGAATTAAAAATGCACGTCTGTCTGAATATTCATGACAAATTGCAATGCTGTTTGATAATCAACTTCCATATTATAGCCAAGAGTCAATATCAAGTAATATTCCATTCGAAAACACTTCTTACTCGCATGTACAGCAAGAACTAACTGGATTCGAGAAGACAGTCCGATCTTAAGAGCTGCCATATTTTCCAATCAAATGTACATCAAGCAGTAAATGAATTCGAGAAGATGGTTCCATCTCAAGGTCTTCCGGATTTTCCGATATCACTCAACTGATGTTTTTAGGCATTTGAATATCAAATAAATATTCACCCTACGACTACACCAGAAGAACATTTGAAACGAACTAATATTCTTTTCATGCATTTCTCAAACATTTCCAGGCTTTTAATGCATCTACCAGTCTCTGGAATGGCGCTGAGTTGTTTCTATGATTACTAGTGATGCGTAATTCGAATCATGCACATATTATAGTATCCATGAGCGTGCTTTTTATTTATAGTATTTTTCATTGCATTCGATTCTGTACAGAAAGTTTTGTTTTGTGACCATTTCATAGCATAATTTCTGCTTATCTTATTCTGTTGAATGCCCTTCTTTCGTTTCAGTACTCATTGTGGAGAAATTTTATGTAAACCTTCTATGAATAAGTTCAGCCTAAGTAAAATATAAAATATCCTTTACTACGAATTATCTGTTCGGCATTCCTTTCACAAACTACTAGTTAGAGTGATGAAAGGTGAATTTCATTTGACATAGTCTAAGTAGAAGAAAATTTGTGAAAAGATGTCCCTAGTTCAGATACAGTCAATCGAGGAGGCTGCACCTGATCATGGCGAATATCAGGCTGTCATATAGTCTCAGCGTTTGGC